TGCAGAGCGGCCAGGCAGGAAGACGGCTTGCTTACCCTCGAAGGGCTCGCTAGCCTGTTTGCATCTCCTGGGCACGAAGCTGCCGGATCGAGCACAGTTCGCAGCGCATATGGGCATGCATTCAACCGCTTAAAGTCGATCGATGGATCAGAGGCGATGGTCGAAAATTACTTTTCCGTGAGTTCAACATCGGGCAGATCAGGCACTCGGCGCGCCGAAGCTGACAGCAAGCCGTGTCCCCCTTGCTGCAGTCTGTCAGCAGAGGTCGCGAACGCTTCGACGACGAGACGTGGTACGAGGGAAAGCGGAATGAACACGCTTCCTTGCCCGCCCGTCATCCAGGTCGCGACGAGCCAATGTGGACGCTGTACAGCAGCATCTTTAGCCTCACCCTAGACTACATTTGGCTCTTGCCTAACCCTCTACGCTCACAGAGCACGCAAGAGAGGAGGGAGGCGGATGGGCAAGATGCATACCCGCACATCACTGCGCTACTCGCAATGCTCAGGACGAACGATTTAGCACCCGGCATCCCGCGCAAAGGCGTCTGTGCCAGCGATCATGTAGCTATAGGTGCCGAGATAGAGTTGAGATAGAGGTGAAAAGATTCCATGCACGTAAGTCGCACTGCATGCATTTTTGCCAATGCTCATGTGAGGTGTTGACAAATCACGCTTGTTGCAGATCGACCTCTCCAAGTTCGGGACGGTTTGGCTCGGCAGGCAGGCACACTTCGGTATGTTATAGATGTGACAGGACTTGATCGTGAAGAAGAGTCAGTTCAGCGTCGAGGAGCATTGCAGAAGACGAATGAGAAGAAGAGCAAGTCTTGCAAGCGTTGTACAAGTCGCAATTACAAAATGGTCGCAGCCGAGTGCGCCTCATCCCCTTTTTTGCGAACGTCAAGCCCCTTCCAACTTGAGGTTGAGCGGCAGAGGAGCATCGGTCTGCGTGCTCAATCCTAGCGCTGGATTGATTTCTGCAGAGCATCTTCTTCCTCCTCTCGAGCTTCTCAACAAGTTCGCCAAGACGCCGCAAGCTTCTTGGAGCAATTCCCAACGGTGAGCAGATGCTGAGTGCCGAAAAGAAAAGTGCTGGCGTGAGCAAAGGTATTGCGGAAGAAGGCGCGCGACTCGAAGGACAGACTCACGAGCTATCTCGTCGTACACCAATTGAAGGAC